TCTTAAAAATGCTAAACAGTAAATAAGGATCACTGAATCAAATGCTAGAATGGAATGCCATAAGGATCAGTTCTTGGACCCCTGTTGTCCCTATTTTTGATTGGATACACTGATAAAGATATTAATACTCCAGAGAAATATAATTCATAAATGAAAAAGACAAACTAAGAGTATCTACATGCCATTTGCAAAAGTTTAAGTAAAAGCAAAATTGGAAGCCAACTCCAATGCATTGTCCAACTGGAAGCCCAAGATGAAGATCATATACTGTGGAAAGAAAAAATGGTTGCTAAAGACTTTCTTTAATGAGTAATGATATGTTTCAGTCATCTCACTGAGCAGGCAGTCAATATAGGAAAAGTTGGGCGTGCATGAATGATGTGGACTTTTCAGACGAGATCCAGACGATGGAAACTACTGATTACAAGATTGGAATATTAAAGTCAAATATGGAATCCAAGTCTTACAAAAGATATATCTAAGGGACAGACTCAACAAGTTTTTATCTGAAAATTAGACAAAAGACGAGTCTTACTTATTGGGAAAGACTATATCAACTCTACTTATTTCTATTTAGTAAGATGGAGATAAAAATTCCTTCTTATTTATGAATGGAAGAACATTGAAAACTTGCCATCAAATGCAAGAGATTTGAAAGAGGGGTTGGAATCAAATTACGACATTCCCCTAGACAATGAAGGGCATGACATCATTCTGGAATAATCCTCAAACAAGAACTTAAAAGAAATTTGATGACCAGTTCAATTTGATCCGGATGGACCACCAACAAGTGTACGTGAAAGAACAAGGCTGAATCACATTCTATCCCTCCTCTAGTTCCGTTCTTTCCTGCTGAGAGAAGATGGGAGGTCCCCAGGGATGACCCCCATAGCAAGAGCCGCTCATAGGGCTCTCGTTTGAACTTACACAGGTAAAATACACTACATATAATAGATATTAATCACAAAAAAAAAAAAAAAAAAATAGGAATATGCTCTAATAGCCCTCAATAGAGCTAAAAACTTTTCAAACACCACTGCAATTCTGAAATAATGAAATTATAGAGATGAGAACATTTACTATACCAGCTTTATAAAGAGAACTTTTTTTAAAATGGGAACTAAAAACAACAAAAATTTAAAATGTTAAGTGGGGTTCCAGAAGGCTTTCCATTAAGATCACCATCATACAACATACATAACAGTTATGAAATTCCCAAGAGAAATACGAGGGATTAAAACATATAAAAGAATAGGCAACAACAATTTCTGAAAAATAAAAAAAAAATAAAATAATAACAAATTTTACTAAATAAAAATGCTCTAAGACAAGTGCCAAAGAGAAAAATAAATATTGAAGAGGTGGAATTGCCTAAGTCATGATATGCTAGGGCTTATAGTTGACACATTTGAATGAAACTGGAAGAAGTAAAAAGAAAAAAAAAAAAAGAAGAAAAAAAAAAGTGTCTGTAAATAGATATATATGATGAAAAAACTAGCCTGAAAACAACTGGGTTGCAAAAAAAGAAGAAGAAGAAAGAAGAAAGAAGATAGAAAGAAGAAGAAGAAGAAGAAGAAGAACAAAAAAACAAAATAATGAAATTCCCACTGTATCATGAACTACCATTTCTTTTCCTCAGTCTAAACTTCTGTAATATTGTCTCTTATCAGGATTAGCGAGTCAGTGCTAGATTCAGCCATAGTCTAAGGTTGATTTGTCATTTGGGTCTATTCTATTTGTTAGTTCTCGTAGAGCCAAGAGTCATTTTTTTCCATTTTTTAACAATTCAAATAGATTTTTACTTGTAGTTCTTACTTTGTCAGTCTAAAATCTAAATTTTGGGTACCATAGGGCAATGAGACTTAAAGTTTCCTATGATTAGTCTGTATTTATCTCTGCTCAACATAGCATTAAAACTTATATTACACAATTACTGCACAGCTTATAGAACAGCATATCTACCCACTTATTTCTCTAATTTCTATTTCCAATGTTTCTACTTTATTGTTAAAGTTATCCCTCAGATCTATTACTCCAAACTGTATTCCATTTCTGATCTAGAAAGTTATGCCCCTACCCTTTTTTCCATCATCCCGGATGATTTTAATATTGTTGTTTTTCCTTTCAAGATTTGCAATGGTATATCTGTTTCTACTGGAAAGCTAATTCTATATGAGCAACCTATAAATATATTAGATCTCAGCTGTTTGCATCTGACCTTCCAGTCGCCAATATGTTTTGTTTAACTGACTGACTTTTGTTAGGCTATCTACCTCAAATCTTACGGCTTTTCCCTTTCTGAGGAATGTTAGTTGTCCTCACTGCTTTATACAAAACCAATTTGTTGATTTGTTAGTCTTTTTGAGTTATCAAAATCTGAGAGATAAATCTCTTCTTTTTCCCCTTTTTAGTTGTATAAGGACTACCATAAGGTTTAGCTTTGCTTGCTTACCTCTTGTGTAGTTGTCAGCTCTAGTTTCACTAGGGAAGCTCATTTTTTTTATTTCCAGTTGCTTTGAAGGGTCTATGAAATGGGCTCGTCTCTTTAGTCACTGCTTATGCCTCCTTCTCTTTGGTCATCTCTGCCAAAGGCTGAAACAGGGGCTTCATTTGGATTAATGAATTAATTAATCAAGTGATAAATGAAATAAAATAAATTCAGCTCAATGAAATTCATGCTATCTTTATCCTTGACATCTTTATTAACAGGACCTCATGATTAACTGTATCAACTTTTTTTCTAGGTTTATACAACAGGCTAATAATGCACATCTATTTTTTTTTATTGTATCATTTATATGCAAGTCTAGGACTTCTACTGAATCTATTGTACTTTAATTTGGTCTGAATCCTGATAGATCATCATCTAGTTTATCGTTTATAGAATGCCCAAAGAGAAGACAGGCATAATCATCACACAACATTTATTTCCGTCCACCAAATG